TTGGATGACTTGGCCGAGGCCAGGGTTTTCAATAGCTGTCAATAATTGTGTAATCCTGAATGATCCTATTTCCCAAATAAAAACCTAGACTAAATGAACTTTACAAGTCCCATTATAAGCCCATAAAAACCCTTAAACCCATGATCCCAAACCGAACCACCCAGGACGTCGACGGGATCCCGGCCCTCCTCGACGACATCTTGAAGCTTTCAGGCCGATCCACCAAGGTCCTGGACCGGTGCAAGGCAGTTGGCAAAGCTGAGCCTCGTGGCTGTAATAAACTGAACTGGGGAACAGGTTTATTGGGTTCGGCTTGCATGATTTTCGTGCATCCAGGAAAACGGAATTGCTGAAGCAGCAGCTCAAAGAACTGAGTGTAAAACATGATGAGCTCGCCGACATAAAGTCTGCCTATGACAGCGAGGAGGAGATTGATGCCCGGATACTGGACAGCATGAATTCTTAAACTATCTAAACCCTATCTATAGCAACCCACACCCTAAGCACAACCCTTGAACCCTACAAAGCCCTAACCTATTTCCTTAAGGAAGCTGACTTTGCTGATGGGCCAGATCAACAAGCTGCCACTCGGCCAGCAATGCCTGTCCTCCGCATAGAATCCATAGAAGCCATCGTCTGAAGATTCCACCTGCAGGGCGAGTCGTATGACTATGGAGGAGAACAAGATCAAGAAGTTACTTGGCACTTAAACCAGCAGTCACATGCAACAACTGTTGTGGTCCTGTGCGATTGTGCTTGCAACACATGCATGATCAGGACTGTGCTTAGCAATGCGAAGACGGAGAAGTCGAAGGCCGTGGAGCCTTCTGAGGCTCCGAAGCCAAAAGCTAAGGCTAAGCAGAGGCCCGAGCCTGCTGAGCATCCGAAGCCAAAGGGCAAGGCCAAGCAGCTGAAGTCGCCGAAGTGAACCTTCGATGACTGTGCTTGGAGCTTCACTGTGTGTCAGGGGCGAGAGCTGGTACAGTGGTGTATTTAGCTATAATAGAATGAACCCGGCTGCACTAGACTATGCCCGACAACCCTAAGCTTCCTAATCCTACGTAGACAACCATACATGGTCCTAGCCTCGAGCCCTTGTCCTAGAAGACACGTCTGGGCACTTCATGTGCAACTCTGGGGAATGGTCGTGCTGCAGCCGAACAAAAAGGTCCTTGAGTGTCGTTTGTACGAAGCTAAACATTTCAGTTCCGATACATGACTAATAAAGCACAACCCCGCAGGTACTTTATCCCTGCGATCCCTGGACAGCATCAAATCCTCGGCTTCGGCTTCGTCTACTGCATGCTCTCAACGACAACCTGGAGCTATAGGAAAGGCTCTGACTGATGCACTTACGAAAGGTGTGTCTGGGCTATAGCTTTTCGTTTATACCCAAATAAGATGGAATTTCTTAAGATTCTATGAATATCTATATAATAGGGATAGGGTTGCATTAGTAAGGGGTTTCGAAGAGGAGTGTTGCTTAGTCTTTCTTGTGAGGTATCGCATGAAACGGTTGCCGGGCTGGCACGTGCCGTGGAGACAGAGATCAACGAATCTTTTGGGGAGGAGGCTGCTGCAAAGCTTCAGTCTTATAAGCTTCTCTGCAAGATGAGTCGTGGGCACAGCACCGGCCATGCAGCAGAGAAGACCCGACAGGCTTTAGATACATTGCCGGAAAGCCAAGCACCAATACAAGTTACTGGAGTTGACATTGGCTTGGACAATCTTTTTCCGTGTATTCTGTTTTCTGATTATCTTCGGGTGCTAGCTGATCAGAACAAACTGAATGTGCTTACACGAGGTGTTGACCTTGAAGCTTTCTGGGACAAGATGCAACCGCTGAAACCACGGCATCCCATCTTCGCTTTGCCTGCAAGTGCAAGGGCTTCTACTGTACCCCTATACCTCATAGGGGATGAAGGCCGGGGCTACAAGAAGTCAGCTGTCTTCGTGTTGGGATCAGAATCAATGCTTGGAGAAGGCTGTGATGCAGAAGATTCCCAAACTGCAGAGGACAAGATGAAAATGAACTTTGTCGGAAACACCCTGCTTACCAGGCAGCTGTTCGCATGCATCCCAAAGTACTTGTATGCCAAGAATGACAAGCCCCTTCACAACCTTATCAATATCTGGGCAGAAGATTTTGGGAAACTCTTCCAGGATGGCCTGGAAATCCGCATCGGCGGCTCCACGCAGACATGGCGAGTCGCCGTTATGGGTTTGAAAGGTGACTGGCCAGCCCTGGATAAATTAGGTCGCCTGCTGAGGCACTTTCGGCGAGAAGCCTATCCTTTCAAGGATGGAATATGTCATCTGTGCATGGCCAATACAAGGCAATGTCCTACATGGCACGAATGCAACTTTGAGACTGCCCCTTGGATTCGCAGCATGGAGACATCGACTATTCCTTGGGATCCGAACAAAGAGTCTGGGCTCACATCGAAGATACCTATGGCAGTGCAAGACAAGCCGTATTTCTATTTGATTGATCTCTTCCATACTTGTCATAAAGGAGTCCATGCCGAACTTGCTGGCTCTGGGCTGGAGCTCCTCTCGCATAGTATGTTTTGTTTAGCCGACCATATAAATCTGAAGCTCCCTAAGCCCTGATCAATGCATTTATTAGCCGAGGTTAGTCTCTGGGACTTCAAGCTGACTGGATCCTCTGCCAGAGGTCTGGACAAGAGCCTGGAACATTTGTTTCAGGAGATGAAAGCATTTTCTTCTGATCGAAAGCTTTATCTGCACATGAATGGATTGACTGCAAAGGGGATTTTGGGGGTCAACTCATCAGCAGACTTCCCTGTTGGGTGCCTTCACTGCTTCGCATTTTTTTTGTATCGAAACACTTTGTCTTGTGTATAAGACAAACCTTTGTGCATCGTCGCTTTCCCTCTTTTGCCGAGGCAGTGGTTTAAGGGGGCCGACACAACATTCGTCCTCAAGTTTCTCATCTTCAAGTTCGAGAATGAATTGGCTCCCGGTCACAATGATATTGAATATCTCCGAACAATTCTGGAGTGCTTGAAAGCTTCCGATGGGTTCTTGAGCTGTTTGTACAAGGCCGGCTTGTTTCTGAGCAGACGACGACTTATAAAGGTTGTGCGACTGGGGATGGCGATGCTTACTTTGTACACTCGCATCGCAGCAATGGCACACTCAAGATCCTTGCCTCGTTTCAAGCTCACACCCAAATACCATATGCTTATGCATGTGGTTTACCAGTTGATGCTGGACAGGGATGCCAACAGATCACCCATGAACCCTCTGGCATACTCATGCCAGATGCCAGAGGACTTTATTAATCGTGTTGCCACTCTGGCAAGGGCTGTGAACCCAAGGTTTGTGCCCGAGAGGACTTTGTACTTGTACAAGGTCGCACTCGCAAAGGTGTTGGAGTGAAAAAGTGCGAGGGATGTCGATTCATGTCCTTTCCTGCTGATCTCCCAGAAGAGAGGTTTAGGCCACCAACAAAATACTCGACACCAGTGGCGAGTTTACCAGGTAAATCCTAGGACTCCTAAAGTTACGTCCTCGCCTCTCCGGGCTTCGGCGAGGTCGCTGCAAGCTTTGGAGACTTGGTCCTCTGAATTTAGGGTTCTAGGGTTTTAGAGCTTTAGGGTTTTAGGGTTTAGGGTTTAAGGCTTTAGGGTTTTAGGGTTCTAGGTTTTAGGGTTCTAGGGTTTGGTGTTTATAGGGTTTTAGGGTTCTAGGTTTTAGGGTTTTAGGTCTTAGGGTTTAGAATTGTAGGGCTTTAGGGTTCTAGGGTTTTTGGGTTTAGGGTTTTAGGTTCTAGGGTTTAGGGTTCTAGGTCTTAGGGTCTTAGGTTTTACGACCCGCGCAGCCGAGGAGTACGCAGCTACGCCCGCGGTCACTTCTTCGAGCCCTTGTTCGGCCCTGAGCCCTTCTGAACTCCTTTGCCGCCCTTTTCAGGCAAAGGGTGCGGAGGCGGAGCCGGAGGTGGAAGACTAAAGGTCGCGAACTTAGACTCCTCAGATTCAGATGACAATGGACTCAAGCGGTCCAACTGAAACCTGGCAAACATGGTTGCTCCAAATAGTCCAAGAAGCAGGTAAGTTACATGTCCTCATTGCGACGTGGAACTCGGCGGGACATTGCATCGCACACCACCGCAGATGCGCGCGTTGATAAATGACATGGTGTGTCAGCACCTGGCCGAAATGATGATGCTAGCAAACAGCCGCAAGCCCTGAAAGAAGCCAACGGCTTGAGTCTCCGAGCAAATGAGGCAGACAAGAGACACCGAAATCGTCATGCAGCCGAGCAGGTTGCAAGCTTCAATCATCATCTCTTATCTTGGGAACCAGATGACCCTTATACGGAGGGGCCCCACACCCTTATACTATGATTCCCTATAATGGTATATGAACCTTAGTTTTTAGGGTTTAGTGTTCTAGGGTTTTAGGGTTTAGGGTTTTAGGGTTTAGAGTTTTAGGGTTTAGAGTTTTACGGTTTTAGGGCTCTAGGGTACTGGGGCTTTAGGGTTCTAGGGCTTTAGGGTTCTAGGGTTTTTGGGTTTAGGGCTTTTAGGGTTTAGGGTCTTAGGGTTTAGGGTATTAGGGTTTAGGGTTTTAGGGTTTAGGGTTCAGGGTTTAGGTGAAGAGACTGTGATAACAGTAACAATAAGAATAGCCATAGCAGCAGTGATGATAGAAATAACAATAGTACTAGCAATAATGCGAAGAAGAAGAAGGCTTCCATAGAAGTTTAGGGTTTAGGGGCCGTTATAATTAAGCCAGTGTTTTGGTTCATAGTATAATTTCTTACATAGGGACTACAAGCGGATATCGTTATTAGCTAGCTATTCACGCCCCTGCAGCACCCTTTTGGCTGTGACTTTTAAGGTGTTTGTAAATGCTCACTCAAATGAACTAAATTTTGTTGAAGGTGTAATGCAATGTTATGTCTTGGTTCTTGCAGGGTTTCCACAGGCTTACTGGACAGGTATTAGTAATTTAATTTAATCCTACTGCAATAGTACCTTCATCTGTTGCAAGGCCACCACGACCAAGTGTCCAAAGGCATTTGCCCAACAGCACGGGTGAATCCGCGCGTCCAACACAGAGAGAGAGAGAGAGAGAGAGAGCTATGCAGAGATGTTCATATGCGGACCGCACGCCGGGACCCCGGGATCTCCGAATCCTGAACCCTAAACCATAAACTTCAAAACCCCGAAACCCCGCCCTTACACTCCAAACCCAGACCCCCATTAGGCACCCTAACCCTAAACCCTAAACCCTAAACCCCAAACCCTAAACCCCAAACCCTAAACCCTAAACCCCAAACCCGAAACCCTCCTAAACCCT